GAACAATACAGTTTAACGTTAATTTTCTATAAAGTAGAGGTTAGAAAAAATAAAAAGAAGCACACGTACAAATAAATTTAAAACATTTGTAAACGTAACGATTTACGTGAACGAGCGAATTACGTGTCTGTTTTTGAACGAAAAACGGAATTGTATTCGTTGATGCACATTTCAGCTTGTTCGCACTCTCGATATATTGATACGGATTTCGAAGCTCGCTCCCTCGTTTGCGATTGCGGCAAGCAAAGTGAGAACGCCAAACGCGCGATCGTTCTCTTCAATCACTTAATTAATTATTAATTCCCGCACTTATAACGAGAGGTTCAAGTTATTCATTGAAGCGTTTTCCCGCGCGATTCACTCTTTCGAAAAAATCGAAATGGAGACAGGAGACGTGAATTCCGAGGTTATCGTTTCACTGCGACACGCGCCGGAACGATTCCATTTAAGATTTCGGATTTATCGCGCTTCGAATCATTTATTTCTCACATGTGTAACATATAATTCACTCACCATTCAATGACCCGCCAAATCACAGCCGGCAGGGTGATATGTATAGCGTCCCAGCACGGCATTCGACGTTCATTTCGTCTAGCGACGGCATCTCACTCGTTTCCGTCGACACACAACGAAGGAACGGAATATTCGGCGTACGTTCATCTTGCAATACCCCGTAATCGAATTTCTTTTCGTTCGCGAGAAAGAATTAAAAGTACACGACGTGTCGCGATCTGACATTGAACGTGTCACGTATTACATGCGCACCGTGCTGCCGCACAGTCGGGCGAGAGGTCGAACGCGATTGGCTCGTGAGTCGAGCCCCCGGATCTGGCCAATCACGTTCCGCCGCTCCGAGCCGCCGACGCGGCGATGGCGCGGCGCAGCGGCATACCAGGCAGAATACTCCAGAATGCTCCAGAACCAGACGCCATCGGCCATACATGGCATGGCCTCACATGGCTTCTCTTCAGACTCTCAGCTTCTCTCTGTTGATGGTAATGATGGCTTGATTGCTTTCGAAGTGTCAACACGCGATTTACAAGCGGTCGTTACTGTTGTTGCATGTGTTTTAATAATCGGAGTAACAATTTAAATCGCTGATACGATATATGGGAATATATCTCTAACTATATCTAGCGTTTTACATAATTGATTCAGTTTAAACTTAAGAGATATTGGTAAGAGCCCCAATCTCGAGCGCATAAATAAGCGAATTTTATTAAAATGGCTGTCAAGGAGAGACAAAACGAAACCTCGTTCGACGAGGTAGAATGGAACGTGGAGAACGAGATCCAACTTTTCTTCGCTATGAATGGACATAAGCCAGTCGGTAAGACGCGAAAGCCGGCGACGGAAGGTTATGTTTACCCTCGACCTCGCCTCTATGTTCAGGCGATTTCAACCGAACTCCAATTAACTTGATCAGCAATTAATTGATTTAAAAAAATTTCTAACTATATATAACTTGATAGATTTCTGTCCAGATTGTAGCATCCGTAATTTAATTTTTATTTTTATATATTAAATAACAAAAAATTAATGCTAACGGAATGCTGCAGATATTACTTGAATTAATTGTCAATGAAGTTAATTAGAGTGATTTAAAATTTATTATTAACAAAAGATCTTTATACTTTGAAATCATAATTTAATGGATTGTTCAATTGCAAGGTGTCAATAAATATTTCCACATGGTGTGTATATGGGAGAAATTTCGTGCTGCCATCCACAAAGATGTTCCGTTGAAAATAATTTGGGATCACTTGGAGTCCATGTACGACCTTATGGCTTTGGTAAGTGACGATGTAAAGAAATGAAAGAGTTCAGATAAAAGCTTTTCCATACATAATTATGGAATCTAGAGAAGTTTTTTTTTTATTAAATCTATTTTTGAATGATTTCATTTTTTTCTATAATAGAATCTGTCTACTTTAAATGAAGTTACATTTGATTCATTTGGTATATCAAGATAAACAAGTTACCAGAAGATTATTTTGAATGCAATATAATACATTGAATACAATATATTTTGTGTGATGTGTGTATATATAAATAAATTAAATTTTTTGATAGGATGACATGGAAGATTTACCTTTTCCCGGCCATGAGATAGATTTTTCCTTACCGGAGACAGATTTTGTGGGAAGGCCTAGAAAAAAGGAAGAATTGGAGACAAAGCTAAAGGAACAGAGGGATAAGTATAAAGAGATTAAGAAAGAAAAAGACACGAAAGAGAGTTTTAAGAAAGATAGCGTCTTGCGTGATTTCAAAGGAACCAAAGACGTGGAAAAGAAAAAAGAAGAGATAAAGAAATATGTGAAGGAGGTAGATATGAAAAAGGATAAGTTTAGAGATGTAAAAGAGGCAAGGAAAGAACATAAATCTTCGAAAGGTCGTTCAAAAGGGAAGGAAGATTCGGAAGAGAGCGGTATTTTAATAAACATATTTTGATCTCAATTATTTAGTAAATTTCTTCAATAGATTAGCTATACGCAAATTGTATTTCCATTCCTTTTAAGCATCGAATGGAAAGAAGGAGCGTAAGGATTCCGAATCTGGTCGCGAACTCATGAAAAGGATTCCGAAGAGACCAACTCGACAAAGCGTGGATAGTTCTTCCAAAGCTTCTTCCAGTCCACGCGATACACCTCCGCCGAAACGAAGAAGAATATAACAGTCATCGTTAATAAGAAAGGCATTCTTGCTTTTGTCTTACTAAGAGCCTTAATTGCATAATTTATCATATGAAATTATCACAATATGATACTGTGTTCTATTAATAACATGGATGTATATATAGACTAAAGTTGACTTTATAAAAAATTTATACTATGTGCTGTAAATATATCACCTATAATATCTTATTAAACAGCCTTGTCTTTGTCGATGTATTTAATACTGATAAAATATTTCCTTTTGATACATTACTAAAAAACGTGGAGTTTCCATATTCAGAATTGAATCAATACTATTCGAATTTCAGAATAATTTCTCACTTCAAGATATTAAATTGTGTAGTTACATTTCGTACATTCTTCTATGTTTCTTTTATTCTACGAACTCCTTAAAAGCAATAATATCTATCTGTTCTATCTTAAAAATGTAAAAATTTAGAACCATGCAATTGAATATATAAGTAATCGTGTTCTCACGCTAAGAGAAAAATGGACAAAAGAACAAATGCAACAGATAGGTAGCAAATACAGATATATTGTATCAATAATCCTTAAGTTATGAGAAGTGTTTACGGTTCTCATCGCAAGTATCTTACAAGCTACGTCCGATGAAGGGGACACAATGACAACACCGAAACTTGTGGTTACCAGCCGAGATTTATTGCAAAAGTGGAATTCTCATGCGTCAGGAATGTTTCCAAGAAAACGTGATCCCGTCCCGTGATCCTCCAGCGTCCTCCAAGAGACTCGGATGTCAGGAATGCCCATTGTCGACGATCGATGATCCATGATCTGCGATGTACGACCCATGATCTGCGATGCACGACCCATGATCCACGATCCATGATCCATGATCCATGCGTGGGAGGGATCCACGTTCGGGAAATGCGTAGCTGGTGAGGTCCGGTAGCGGTGACGGCGGCTGGCGACCGGTTTTCCTTTCGGCGTTAACGAAGCCCCGCATTATCGCAGCCTTCTCGCCTCGCGCTCGGACTCGAGCAAGGTTAGGAGATCGCCCTCTCGTACCGGTCCCTTCACGTTCCTGATAATCTGCCGATTCTGCTCGCCCAGGAACTCCACCTTCACCTGGGTACACTGCCCCTGCGAGCCGGTGCGGCCCAGGACCTTGATGACGCGCGCCAAAACGACTGGTTTATCCATAGTGATCGCCTCTCTCTCACGTGGATTGCGACTTGGAAAAGGTGTCTGGCGCAAATGGAAGAGCACGCGACGGCAGACGGCACGCGTAGACAAACGCTCGAGTTCTCGAGTCTCGACTCAGCTTCCGGTGAGTCGCCACTGTCCACAAACGTAATTCATTTATGCTAG